GGCCTCCGCGGCTCCCTTGACGGGGGAACGGCGCACCGAGGGAGGCAGCCTTTGGGAGTGCCTGGCTCGCCTCCGGGGGGGAGCTGGGCTGGCCTTCCTGCCTAACCTGTGCAAGGCCTGCCAGCGGGGCCCTGGGTGTAGCTGGTGCTCTGCCTCCGCAGGCCCCGGGCGCCCCACCAAGGTGACACCGGCTGCTGGTGCCGGGTCTTGCCGGGGCTGTGGCCCGTGACAGACCATGTAGTTCGTCTTACATCTTATTCTGGGGTGGTTTTTTTTTTTTCCCTACTTTTTTTGGCGGAGTTGTTCTGGCTCGTACCGGTTGTTGTGCTGAGGCGCTTTATAACCATAAAACCTGTGGCTGGGGCTCCAGGTGACCTGCCTGGCCTCTGCCCTGCGACTGGGTGGGTGTGGCTGTGGGAACAGAGGTCTGCAGCGCTCCTAAACCGATGGGGGCTCTGGAGATGTTGAGGCAGAGCTAATGAAGTGATTTTTTTGCACCTTCTTCGTGTTTCTTGCTTAGAATTTAAAAATGCTTGTGTTTGGGCTTGTCAACTTGTGTGCCCAGGTATGGTTGACATAAACTAATGGCTAAAGTCCTGAGGTTTCAGATGTACGGTGTTTCTGGATGCGTTAGCAGCATCAAAATTGGTCATAAACTGGACACAGCCTTTTTCCTTGCATTGGGAGGTTACAAGTTCAGTGTTCTGGTGTGCAGGTGTGTAGGGGGAGAGTGCCTGTTGCGGGAACTGAAACTGAAGGAAGAGAAAAGATCTCAGCCTTTAAATTTCTATTGTATGTGCTCATTATATCATCAGACTGAGTGTAAAAAAAATAGCTTTATCTGTAGTTTGTTTTTTTGTCTGGTTCTGTTACGCATTCTGGAGCTGTAATATTCAGGATCCTAGTGCTCTGTTTGAAATGGTGCTGGTTAAAGAGCTCATTCATAAACAGCCAGGTATTTTCTGTCCTTGCTCCATGCTGCCACACCCTTGGCTATGCCCCATATTGATAGTTGGGAGGCTCTAAAGCAGGTGTAAAATGCTCAGAGCAGCACGTGCTGCCTGGGACAGTATGCTAAAGGCTGTGTGAATTCCTTAGCCTCTGTACAACGGGCAAGAGTGGGTTCTGTATGGTTGCCTTTAGAACAGGGTAGCACCCTTGCAGGCATATCCCTTTTGCACTGCAATAAAGACACAGTACTGCAAAGATGTGTTGGAAGCAATTTGTGAAGTTGTATGTGATTTCTGTTGTAATCCTAATAGCTTTGCTTATCAGATTTAAAAAAAAAAACCAAACTGTAAAAGCTGCTGAAGCAGCAGTGATTGATACTTGGGCTATTTTTAATCTCCTCCTTGATCTTTCAAGTAACTGATAACAAATGAAAACAAAAAACCTGTGCATATGAGTTTATTTTATAATGCATAAATATATCTTTCTCTTTTGATCTGGACAGATCTGGCGACCAGTAACTGCAACTTTCTTCTTCCCAGTGGGACCTGGAACAGGATTTCTGTACTTGGTGAATTTGTATTTCTTGTATCAATATTCATCACGATTAGAAACAGGTATGTTATCCATTAAATTGTGTGCACATGGTAATCTCTGCTCAGAGTTGATAGACACTAAGAATTGTCAGATAGAGCTTCTGTTGGGAATGTTTATGGCAATGGGGTTGTGGCTGATTCAGACAGATTTGTGAGAAAGATGGCTTATCTCTTTGCCCACTTATGGTGGTCAGTGGAAGCTCTGGAAGTGGATTTTCTGTGACTGGCTCCTTCCCTTTGGCAGGGAACCAGTTCATTTAAGGATCAGAACTTGATACTTCATTCAGTAGGAGGACCTGGTGCTTTTAGTTGCTGGATTTCAGGAAATGAGGGATAGCGACTAAAGATGATGTTACCTCTGTTTTGATGTGTCTGATGCCATTTAACACAGAAGGATGATAGAGCATATGTAGTAATGGGTATATCCATCTTAAGAAAATAAGAGTCAGTTTTTCCTTTTTTTGAAAGGCAGTGATGCTTACCTGTGTTCTTCTGTCAGTTATGTTGAATTCAGCGATATCTCATACAAATGAGGTGTACCCCTCTGTCAGATAGAAATGTGAAAAAGTTAAGGAACTAGTTGGATTTTCAGTTAGGGGGGAAAATTAAGACTGGAAGAAAGGAGATCAGATATTGGATCATTTATCTCAGAAAAGAGATTGCTGTTACAAGGTGGCTTCAAAACTGGGTTCGTTTTGAATTGCACAGTTCATTAAAGCTAGACAAAAATAGTTTCAGTTGAAGTAAATGAAGTATTTGCAATAGCCAAGCTCCTCCTGAAAGCCGTTACGAACAGTGTAGTTCTAATGGAGTCTTATAATTCATTGTATAAGTGGAAATGCATTGCAGGGTAATGCTTGGGAAGTCACAGGACAGAGAAGAGATGCCTGGTAAAGCTGTCATCCAGAGAGTATTGTGGAATCCCTTTGAAGTCATAGGAAGAGTAGCAGGGAAAGGGAGGAGTGGTGCCACATTGTATTTGATTGTTTTCTTAGTGAAAGTAGGTAGTAGTTTAGTAGCTAGAGATGGTTCCACCTTCTCTTTGAACCTTTCTGTAATAGATTGTAAACACATGAGAGTACTGGCGGTTACCACATTCTGCTGTGCAAAACTGTGTAGTAAGAGTTCCTGATTGATATCTGCAAATTGTAAGACCTCACTGCTTGTACATATACGTACAAAACGCTCTAGTTGTCTATGCTGTGGCAGAAGTCTCATGGAAGGAAGTCAAGTCTTTCAGCAGTAAATTTACACTTCTGCTGTACCAGCATATCTGGATTTTGAAACTGGGAAGTCAGCTGTGTTTTTGTTTGAATCAATGCATGTCATTTATATTACAGCCATTTTTCTGGGTATAAATGAAGTTCTTGGTTTGGTTGGTCCTTCCTCTCTATAACAAAGGCTTGAATCCTTCTGAAAGTGGGAGGTGTTGAAGTTGCTGATAATGTGTTTACAGGTAGAAATTGTTGTAGGTCTATGCTTCCTTTTGTCTGTGAAACTGTGAAAGTAAAACTTCTATTTTCAGGGTTATATGTGGTTTTTGAGCGTACACTGGTGTTGCATGTTAGCTTCAAATTTAGCTGTTTTGCACTGTGCTTGTGCTTTCCTAACGAGCTGACCTGTAGCTTCCTCTTGTCCTGAGGAAAAGGTTGGTGTGTTTCTATTTTGTTTCTGTTGGAGAAGAACATAACAAATATCAACAGAAAAAAGCAGAATATACAAAGTTGACTCCCCAGTAGTACGAGTGATGAGATGATGAGTCTGCAGTGCTTCCCTGGTGACTGGATTATACCCTGGGCCCTGCTGAAGAACACAGTGGGCTAGAGCTCACCTCACCCCTGCACAGAGCTTATTGTCAGTCTGTAGCTCAGTTCTCTTAGATATTCATTGGAAAGTCAACTTAAATAGTTTCTCTAATATTTTTGTTAGTGATCTAGATAATGGGAAGTGAAAAACTTTAAGGCAATAATATTTGCTTTGATTTCTTCCTATTCTAGAGGAATTCCTATGCTGGAGTTTCTACAGGGTTAGTCAGCTTCCTCTCTTTATTTGTTTCTATTTGTTGTATGGCAGCAGTGAGGAGAAAACTACAGTTTATATAGTTCTTTAACTTTAAAACTTTCCAAAAGATTTTTTCAATGTGTGGGGTTTTTTTCCCTGTCATGTAACTTGCATGTCTGAATTTAAATCATAAACTTAAAATGACTAAAATATCAATTTTGTTTTACATAGGCTGAGTTACTGTAGTTATTCTAAACAGCTAATGCTTAAAAGTATATCTTATTTGTTTAAATTTTTGGGGACATGTAAAATAGTTCTAGGAAGGCAAATACTGCTAATATTAAGCAGTGACCATCTTTCTAGGAATTTTGATGTTTAATTATTAGCATTTAATTCAGTTTGTTTGTGGCACACTGTGTTTGTTGCTGTGTGGTTTGGGCCCGTTTCAGCATATTCTCAGGCTTTCCTTGCCAGCATGGAGCTGTATGGAAGTTGATAGGAGCCTTGCTCAAATGCCAAGGTCTGCGCCAGCCTTTTACAACTATTTGCAAGAGTGAGAGCTTGGATTTTCCAGTTTGCAAGGAGTTGTTGGGGGGGTTTGTTTTTTAACCCTTCTCCCTGCCAGATCCCAGACTCAGCTGGATGTCTGAAGATAATTTAATTTAGTATGACCTGCAGGGGATGTTACTCTGGTTGGTTTGGGTTTTTTTTTTTTTGTTTCCACTGTCCTGAAGAAAATTTACACAGAAAGGAAGGATGGAACAGAATGCATTGCACATGTGTACCCTCCTGGTCATGTATGTTGATTTTTCTGTAGTGTAAAAACTATGGTATCTCTTGAGTCTGACTAGGTGGTGCAAAGAGGGTGCAATTTGCCTAAGTACTGGTTTTCACAGGACTCGATCATTAAACTTGATATTTCTGCTTTTGCTGTGCAAGCATATGTCCTTACTGTGTGCTTCTGATGGGCAGCTTCTTATGACGGATGGGATCCAATGCCATTTTGAAGCCTTGTGAAGTTAAAACCACTTAGCTGCAGTTAGTGTGTTCTTTTTTAAGTAGAGCTGCTGTGGCTGCACTTAATGCTATAGGCCGGATGTCTTATTTTTTGTTCCTGTAGGTTGTTCTATTATAAGGCCTTTTAAAATTAAAAAAAAAAATCATAAACCACAGACTGCATGTAGGGCAACTGTTATTAACTGAGCTTTTCTTAGATAGCTAAAAGTAAAAAAGTCTTTAATTTCTTATCAAGATTTCAGTACCTTTTGTAACAATTCTTTTTGTTTACAGGGGCTTTTGATGGAAGGCCAGCAGATTACATGTTCATGCTCCTGTTTAACTGGATCTGCATTGTTGTATCCTTTTGCTCATCATCAAATTTTTGGAATATTTTGGTTCTTCTATATCTGCCTAAAATATGTTCAAAGCCAAGGTTTTAGCAACTAAAAGTTTTAAAATGTAGCAAATGTTCACAGGTGAGTTTTTAATCTTCCTGGAAAGGTAGTAAGTGGCTTGCAGGAAGAATACTAATAAATGTGTTAATACAAATATGCATTCTGGGGACTGGACTTCTGCTTATGTAAAGCTCAGCTCGTGCTGTGTGAGCTTCCATGGTGTTCTTTGTATTGCTTCACTTATATACTTTTGTGGATTGCCACATGGGCTAAGGGTGAATTTAGTGTGTTTAAGCTTCCATGTCTGATCTCTGCCATTCCCCGAGTTGGAAATTCAAGTACTTCATGGAGAGATCGTTTATGTGCTGGGTACAAGTTAGCTGAGTCTGCGCGGTACCTGCACTGAGGCAGCTTCCTGAAGAAGCTGGGCTTGGTGTAGGAATGTTGGGAAACAGTTTTTTCATGAGCTGTGCTGTTCTACCTGAATTTTCTTTTAGGTCTTGGATACGAAACTGGGAGGAGTTGTTGATAGACCAGGTGGTTTTCCTACCATTCACAAGGATCTTTAGAGGTTGGAGAAATGTGCTGGTCAGGAATCTCATAAAGCTCAGCAAAGGGAAGTGCAGAGTCCTGCCCCTGGGGAGGAACAGCCTCAGGCACCAGGACAGGCTGGGGACTGACAGTCTGCAAAGCATCTTGGCAGAAAAGGCCCTGGAGGTCCTGCTGGACACCAAGTTGACCATGAGCCAGCAATGTGCCTTTGTGGCAAAGGTGGCCACCAGTGTCCTGGGCTGCATTAGGCAGAATGTTGCTGGCAGGTTGAGGGAGGTGATTATTCCTCTGTATTCAGCACTTGTAAGACATGTGGAGGGCTGCGCCTGTCTCCAGGTTCCCAAGTGCAAGAGAGACATGGACATACTGGAGCAAGTCCAGTGAAAGGTCATGAAGATGATTAAAGGGTTGGAGCATCTGTCACATGAGGAGAAGCTAAGATTGCTGGGATTGTGCAGCTTGGAGAACAGCAGGCTCAGGGGTGTCTTGGAATCATAGAGTAGTTCAGGTTGGAAGGGACCTTTAAAGGTCATCTAGTCAACTGCCTTGCAATAAGCAGGGACATCTTCAACTCAGTCAGGTTGCTCAGAACCCTGTCCAACTTGACCTTGAATATTTCCAGGAATGGGGTATCTACCACCTTTCTGGGACACCTGTTCAGGTGTTTGACCACCCTCATAATAAAAAAAAAATCTTATATCTAGTCTAAACCTACCCTCTTTTAGTTTAAAACCATTACCCCTTGTCCTGTCGCAACAGGCCCTACTAAAAAGTTCGTCCCCGCCATTCTTATAAGCCCCCCTTAAGTATTGAAGGGCTGCATAAGGTCTTCCTGGAGCCTTCTCTTTTCCAGGCTGAACAACCCCAACTCTCTCAGCCTGTCCTCACAGGAGAGGTGTTCCGTCCTTCTTATCATTTTCATGGCTCTCCTCTGGACCTGCTTCAACAGGTCTATGTCTTTCCTGTGCTGAGGATTCCAGAGCTGGACACAGTGTCGATGTGGATAAATACCTGACAGGGGAGGAAGTGAAGGAAATGGAGCTATGCCTCTCTCAGTGGTGGGACAAGAGGACAGGCACAAAATGAAGTACAGAAAATTCAATTTAAGTGTAAGAAAGACCCTTTTTCTGTAAGGACAGTCAAAACAGTGGTATGGGTTGCCAAGAAAATCTCCATCCCTGGAGATGCTCCCATTCTGTCTGTGCTGTTGCTGCCTCCTTGTAGCAGTTTGCAGTGGCACTGCATGTGCAAAAAAGGGAGCAGTGACATCAGCGTGAACCAGATACAGCCAGGAGAGCTAGTGTGTAGAAATGCTGTCACCTTTATAAATTAATTAACCATCTCTAGTCCATCTCACATTCCACTGTATGGAGGGAGTTGCTATTCCTGCTAGTCCTGTTGAGCCACAGCAGTAACTAGGCAAACAATGTGGGTTTAGTTATGCTGTTAAGAAAGCCATCAGCTTCATTGTGTTTGCAGGCTGTTGGCTGTGAGCTATTAGATGAATCTGTGACTTGACTTTCAAACTCATCATTGAAAGGCTTCCAGTTGCTTGTTCCCTATATGATGTAAGGAGCAACCTGGTTGCGTGATCTGGGAAAATGCTTGGTGCCATTTTATGCACATTAATGAACTGTTAAAAGCATTCCAATCATAGCATAATTCTTCAGCAACTGTTTCTACTCAGCAGTTACTACAGCAAGTAGATCGTTTGGGTTCCAAGGTAGGAGAGTAGTAAAGCCTGCACTGATGCACTTCAAGAAATTATTTCTTTTCTGTGACTCAGTGGCAATGTATTGTTGGTTTTTTTAATGATCTGGTATTCTTTAGTTAAAAAACCAACATTTTAGTGTTTAAAAAACTAATGAAGGAATCCAGCTGTTAAATCTGGATAAAAGCTGTTAATCATGCTTTTATGCAAGGGCTAGTTGAGTTTATAGTTGGCCAGCTTCATCATGGAGGGAAGGCCAGTGCATCTGTTAGCCCTCAGGACAATGACTTGAGGTGGTAGCTTGAAAAGCTACTGAAAAGCAGTTACTGAAACTAGGTATGTAAGTCTCTAGATCATAGAGAGTTTTTAATTTTTTCCAGTGGCTAACTTAAAACTTCACAGGAGCGCTGTTTTAATTTTAAACATTTAAGGCCTTTGTGTATGCGTTCACAGTGTGCGCAGCTTCTTTTTATTGTTCTAGTCTACCAGGTTTTGCTGCGTTTTCCTTAATGGTGCAATGACAGATAACTGGTCTGGCAATGGACATGCAGGTAAGTCTGGTGCAGTTTCTTAAATAAGATTATGGAACTTTCTGACTACTTAATGACTTTACAGAGAGCATTATCAACATAACTGCAGAACATAGTGAAGCTAGGCTGGTTTAGTTTATAACAAGATGGACTGCAGTGTGTGTATTGTTTGTTTTTCAGTTTGAGTTAGCCCCAGCTAACATCACAAGCCTGTATCTGAGTCTGGTCCTCCTAACCTAGTTAGGGAGTCAAGGAGTGAAAACTGGCTGTTTGTGCAGTCAGGAAGTGTTCGGCCTTTTATTAAAATGGACACAAGATGTCATCTATGCACTGTTTCCTCTAATGAATGTGGATCTGCATTCTGACTTTTTAATCTAAAGATGGTTCTTGGGTTCATTAGTCTTCTCAAATGCAGTGTGCCTTTTATTTGCCAACGCAAGAATATTTGTTAAAAAAGCAGCTTCAGATTCAGATCAGAACTGTGAAGGGCAAAATCCCCACAAGAATTATTAAAACAATGGTCTAAGGAACCAGTTTCAGTGAGGTAGTTCTTATCCCCTCAAATATTAAGGAGGGAAATGGGGGAGTGTTTCTTGGACACAGCAGAGTATCAGATAACTGCTTGTCTCTGAAACAGTGATTTACTGGTGCACCTTCACTCTGTGCTGCTCTGAGGGGGACGTAGCTGGCAATTTGATGGAGTAACACTTCATCCAGCATATTAGCTTAGCCCCAGATGAGTGTATTGGGGTTAGTGCCCTGGGTTGTGAATGGAAATGATTGTGGCACAGATATGTCGCTGACTTCGCTGTAGTTGTGCTACCAAGCAGCTGGGAGCAGGGGAGCTCACCACAGCTGCTCTTTCACTTGGTGCAAGTTGGAGCCCTTGGCTTTGGCGTTGTCTTGCAAAAGAGAATGACCAAGTATGTTCTCCTGCTTAGCCTTCTCAGTAGCTTTTGAACAGATCCATGACACATGGTGATAAAGATTCTGGGGCAGTCTTTAAAGATTTTGCTGATGTATCATGCTTACAAGGCATTTTTGAAGCTGTTAGCTCCTGTTGCCTGTTTAAGTTTCTTGGGCTTCTGTCAAAGTGCTGGTAACTTTTTGCCTTTTTTTAAAAATTCTTTTTTTTTTAAACATTGCAGTTGCTGATGATTCCACTCATCATGTCAGTACTTTATGTGTGGGCCCAGCTGAACAGAGACATGATTGTATCATTTTGGTTTGGAACAAGATTTAAGGTATGTCAGACAGGATATTGGGAAGGTTTCTGCCCAGTAGATGCATGTGAAAGGGGTGGGGGGCAAAACAGAAATATTTTATCTTATTAAAGATGTCTCATGCTTTCATATAGCTATGTACTCCTTGAGATGCAGCAAAGACAAATTTCTTCATGGTCTTCTGTATGGTGTCACTTAGTGTGGCTTACTGAAAAGGTGTCCTGACAACTGAAATTCATTGGTCCGAAAAGAGGAAAAAAATTCCTCATAAACAGTAATCTGGATAAAAGCTGAATGTAACAACACCGTAGTGACAAAATGTTGATATTATAAATTGTTCTTTCCTGTGCAACCTCATCTGTTTCTGCCAGATCTTGTTTTGAAAACTTTTTTTGATCATTGTTCCCAGACCTTTTCAAAATCAGAAATGTTAGGACTTTGTTTCAGATATAGGTTTGCTGTGGAACATAGAGTGCAAAAGACACATCTACTTATAATGTTTAAATGAGTGTGCTTTGTCTAAAAATGTTAGCAGTTGCTCAGTTTGGAGTATCTTACCTTGTTAAGTAGAATCCGCTTAAGTTGATATATCAGGATTTGTGGAATGCCTAAAACATTGAGATTATAATTATGCTTATTAGTGCAGTTCAGGTTTATGTCCTTAACTCGTATTTACAACTTTTCTGTCTCCATTGTGTTCTTTTTCAGGCCTGTTACCTTCCATGGGTTATTCTGGGATTCAACTACATCATTGGTGGATCGTACGTATTTACTTATATGGCAAACTTGAAGTTATAGAAGCTTTTGTGGCTATTGAACTTACTGCTGAATTTAGAAGCAATATTAACAGAAGAGGCTGAAAGCTGTGTAATCTGATTGATAGTGCTCCATGTCACATGGTGGTCACTTAAGATAAAAGCAAGGAGGAGATGGACATGTGAAAACTAGAGAGTGTAGGTGAGGGAAAAGTAGTAAGAATTTGGTTTATTTTAAATCTGTGCATTAGGCCTTTTCCTTACTAAAAGAGTAATGCACAGTAAAGAAAGCTGTCGTCCCGTATGACTGCCCATCACGACTGGTTTTAGAATCAAATTTAGCTTGACTCTGATAGTGCTGTTACTGCTTTCCCTCACAATCTCGCCCAACTTGATGTTTTTTTCAGCTTATGAAACAAGGGAAAATGGCAATAACAAGCCCACAGAGCGCCATACTAGCACTTGCTGAATTTGCTGGTCTGTCTTGCGTTTTTTTGACTGAAGTCCGTGATGCAGAAATCCTCTCTGTGCACGGTCTTTCCCGTGGGTGCCTTGTGTTTGTTGGGGCCTCTTGGTGCTGTGCTAACGCAGTTAGTGATAAGAACAAGTTATGTGGTTGATTTATAAAAGGAGGAGATAGTACAGCAAACCCAAATTCCCTTTTCTGGCTGTGCTTCCTACTGACTCACCTGTTACTTGAGAAGACTGCTTCCTGTTAGATACCTGCTGTTTCTATGCGTGATGGAAGATACTTAAGGGTCTCCATTCAGCAGTGTTTTTTCAAAATTGGGAACAAACCAGCTCAGTACAGCAGGAGACAGGTTGTCCGGTGAAAACAGCAGTAACTTCTCAAGCTCTGCAGTCTATTATTTTAGACACTAATAGCTGTATGGTCTAATTCCCTGATGTAAACAAGAATTTAATTGCATTTTCAGTACAGTCTGTAGAGAAGGCTTGGAAAGGAGGGTGGAACGGCCTGTTGATGTTTTGGCACTGAAGGCTGGCGCTTCTAAAGAAAGTGGCTGCAAAATGCTGAGGGAAGGGAAATTTTCTGTGGCTCACGGCCCTGGAAATGCCTGTGGCAGGTGAACAGCAGTAACTGGCAGAAGATGGCCACTTGTTTATTTTCATAGAAGACAGCATGTGAAACAATTCTTTTTCTTTTGCCTTGCAGAGTCATCAATGAGCTCATAGGAAATCTGGTTGGACACCTGTATTTCTTCTTAATGTTTAAATATCCAATGGATTTGGGAGGAAGGAATTTTCTGTCTACACCTCAGTTCCTGTAAGCTGGCTTTATTCTTTAGCTCACTGTTTGTTTCATCCAATTTTCTGTATTGTTCATCAGACATATATTTGCTGGGTGTGTAAGGTATAAAATACTTTGATAAATCAACCTGCTTCAGACTATCATATGACTGTGCTGCTGAGTCATCAAAAATGTTGAGTTTCTTGTAAATGGCTCATGTTCTTTGTTACCCTTAGGGACAGCTTGTGTCTTTTACCAGCTCTTAAGAGTGAAAGTCATAGTTCTGCTAGTGAATTGAGCTGTAGTAAAGAGAATTCCCTAACAATTATCAGATAGTATAAAAAACCCTGTTCTCTCTTGTAAATGATCTTTTATCAGTATTTCCATGTATCATTACATTAGCTACCAGTTCAGCAACCTGTAATGATAGTAGGCAGCAGTTGCAGACTTGTTCTGGACTCCAGTGTGTATTCTGCTTTGCAGTTGGTACCAGTCATCTTGACTGAGACTGCAGGTCTTGGTTTCTGAAGTGCATTTTCTTGTGATCTGTTCATTGTTTTGGCATTGATGCCATGATCAGAAGCCAAAGTTTGTAGCTTCAGTTGCCCTTATCCTCATCCTTTTGGGTTGTGAATATTCTTTCTCTTCCAAACTTTAGTTAGCAACTCAGTTAACCCTTTTTATAGAATAAACTGTTAATTATAAGATGCAGAGTTGAATTACAGTTATACTTCCTGTACAAGTTTTAATGAGTAGGGAGGCTTTATATTCTACTTTTGTGTTTGCAAGCCCCACCTGGTAAACCTAATTTTCTATAAAGATAAGAAGACAAAATCCTGGTTTAAAATGTCTTTCAAGGTAATAACAGCTCTGAAGCTGCCATCAGTCTTCTTGGTTATGTGCAGTTCTCATGATTCCTCGTATGTGTATTTAGTTTTTCTCTGCATTTGAGAAGCAGGAACAGAAGTACTGCAAGCATCTCTAAAGAAGGATAAATTCTGCCTTTGCAATGAAGTTTTTTGTTAAAAAAGATGCTGTGATGAATTACAGATATCTTTAATATGATAATGAAAAACTTCTTCTGTACAGGATCATTTTTCTTTTAGAAAGGAATCTGTTTATGTCAGGGCCTCAGATTTTCGTGGTCAAATTCAGCAAGGGATTTGCAGGAGCTCTGTGTAACTATTGCAGAGCTGAAATGACTCTGCATTGATGGCATCCCTTGCAAAATGCAGAAGCTGTATTTTAGATCACTCTGTCTCTTTAGATGGTAGGCTAAGTGGGATCCTAAGGTCTTACAGCTCTGATTTGCTTGAGCTTTGATTTCAGACAAGGTAGTTGCTTAAGCCTGTTTCCCTTAGTGTCTTTGGTTCCTCAGGAATGTTTACTTGCAGAGCACTGAAATGGTTGGATGCTGTGGTAACAGGAGTTTTGTAACTATTGAAGAGAGAAGTCCAGAAGTTATTTGGAATTTTTAAAAAAATCATTATTTCTCCAGAAAAAAAAAAACAGAGAGAAGTTACAGGGATTAATTTTGTATCACAGCACTTATTCTCAACTATGAGACTCCCTTATCATATGTTTTTTCCCTGTGTTTGGATTATTGTATACAACCATATCCCAGAGATGGAAATTCCCTGGAATTACCATTTCTCAGTGTGCCGAAGGCTTAGATTTTGAAAGAATTCTGTGCAGTATTCCTGTGAAAAGCCAGTTTTATTGACAAGTCTAGCAGTTAAAAGGAAGTGCCTGGAAAAGTAATCTGGCATTTACCCCCAAGGTACAGGTGTTTATACAACTCTCTCCTTCTCTCCTGGCTCGTCCTAGGTACCGCTGGCTGCCAAACAGGAGAGGAGGAGTGTCAGGATTTGGTATCCCACCCGCTAGCATGAGAAGAGCTGCAGAAGACCAGCAGGGCGCTAGAAGACACAACTGGGGCCAAGGTTTCCGGCTAGGTGACCAGTGAAGAACCCCTTCCCTTGGAAAACAGCAATTCTTTGGTTTTAATTGGACGTAGGATCGACCCTTGCTGGTGCAGAGCATGCTTAAGAACTGAACTCTCTGTAGTACTGTTGGATTTAACTGATTAGAAAGAATTTTTCTGGTTCAAGAGAAAATGAAAAACTCCACAAGGGGATAATGTAGATCTTGCTCCAGGTTAGCCAGTAGTGTCCAATTTGATTCTGCCATTAAAAAAAGCCTTCTTTATACAGTATTGTCTGTCTGTTGCAATGGGCATCACTTATGCTGCCTTGTTCCGTGATGTGATGGAACAAGCTAATGGTGTTCTGTCTCGCCTGGTACGTCAAAAGCTTTGTTGACCATGGTAAAGGAAGAATTCAGTGTGAGGCAGATGGATCAAACTAACCCTAAAATTTAGGAAGCTGACTTTTTCCATAGCTGTGCTTAAGTCCCAGGGTCTTTGGACTCTGCTGCATTCATAAAGCAAAGTGCAAATGTTTCATTTCCATTATTAAGCTGTGTTTTGAGGGGAGTTTTTTCTTGACATGCAGCATTTGTCTTACCTGCTACAGCATGGGATGGGCAAGATGAAGGATAAGAGGGCTTTCCTTCAAGATGGCAATAACAGATATTCACAGAATAGAAATGTCTGGACTCTTCATGGCATGTTACAAGGCTTGCTCTGTTTAAACTGAAGCTGTCTGGCTTGGTTTTTTTCCCTGAAATCTTGGCTTCAAGGTTTCTATTTTGATTGCAAAATTGGGTAGCACAAATACTACTTAAACTAGCAAATGTAACATATCATTGTGGTTAATGTAAAGGGTACTGACTGCAGCATTATGTTTGTTAACTGAATCTTCAACTTTCTCTTAAAAGCTTTAAGACATCAACGAATCAAAGCTGGAAATAAACTTTTCCAGGGTCAAGATACAATAGAACATATTGCTTTATTGCAGGACTCCCATTGTCGAATAAGAAATTATGTACACTGTTTATTAGTATCTTTACTTTTTTTGGTAAAACTTTTTGACCTGGAGAAGGGAATGATTCTGTACAGTAGTTTTTCTTGTGCTGGGTTCCTGTGGGCACAGCACAGGGCTAAGATCCAGGAAGCTGTAATGCTAGCTTGTTTCTGACTCACCACAGGGACTTGAGCAAACTTCTTGCTTATCTCAGTTTTCCCGGCTGGAAGGAGGACTCATGGATGTCTCACAGCATTCTTAAAAGGTGTCTGTCCCCGACTCCCCTAGGTGGGAGCTGCTAGTGAGCAAGGTAAGGCTTAGGTTCACGTAAATGACAACACTTAAGCTAGGAACACAGTTACTCTAAGCTTAACCAAGACTTCTAAGTTGGAATATAGTTGCTCCCTTTTTATTTTATAGTTGGAGAAAGAAGAACACCATTACTAGGATGAGATTCAAGTCTTGGACTGAATTTCCCTTGTCTGTCTTTTTGCTGTGTAGGTAGGGCACAGAAGGCTGTTCTGCCCCAATTTAGGTATCTCAGGTATCTGTAAGTAGGTGAAGTGAATCTGGGCCAAAACATTTTTATTACTACTTTGTTTCTTCACTAAACCTGGGTCCTGAATGTTTGAAAAATTGTAAATACTAAGATGTTAAACTGAGCGGAAAATAAGCAGTCGGACTGGAGGTTTTCAGCTGCCTTGCTTGGAAAACATGCATGTACCATTCTTTCACAGAAACTCAATTTTGTTGATCTGGCTTCTGGAAAAATGTAGAAAACCAATAATGATCATCCTGTATGCTTGGGTGTTACGGGAACTTGGAGTTCAGAATCACCTGCCATTTTTGTCCATTCAGTGATAAGTTTTGAAGATGCTCTTGTCTATTTGTATAAAACAGTAGGTAGGAAAGAGGGCTGCAGTGTTGTAAATACTAATCTATCATTGACCAACACCTTTTATTTGATGCTAACTTGAAATTTCTGAGAACCATTGTTTTATAGGAGCCATGATGCAGCTGGTTTTTTTCAGTCATCGTAATATTACTGTCTCCAAAGTATTTGTCTTAATTTTGAGTCAGGACCTAGCTGTGAAGTGAAGATGCAGTAATTTGTGACTCAGCTGAAACCTTGGCACACTCAAATTGCAGAACGTCTGTGTACAGAAGGCCAGAAGGAAGGCTTGGATGGGAGGAAGGATGGCAGAAGTCATTGTCCTGGCCCAGTGCAGTGTGCTGGGTCTTGCTTTCTCAGACATCCTCCTTCTCTAAATTAAGAGGAAAAGGTTTGCAAGGAAGGTAGACTTCTGATAAGTCTTGATTAGCTTTTGAGCTACTTCAAGTCAATTTACTTTGGTTTATGGAAATTTCACTTCAGAATTCCATATTCAGTTTGTTAGTTTCTCACCTCTCACTTGACCTGAAGTGCTGTTTGTCCTCCCGTGTACACTGACAATGGCAGTCTGTTGTTAAATGAGTACCTCCTTTCTTATTTTGTACAGATAATTTCCCTTTTTGTAATCAATTTTTGTTGGCAAAGTTTTAAATTAAAGTTTTGATCTCTGTTACTGTCTCTGTTTTGCTAAATTGTGTTTCAGCTTAAGACAAGCGTTGTGGTCTGCCTGTCTCCGGGAGCTGTGGCAGCTGTGCTGTGACACCACCTCCTGCTGTTGGTAAAAGTACTTGAGAAAATGGCCTGCTTTTGGCTGGGAGTCTTGTCTTCTCTGATCAGTTCCAAAATTGTAAACACATTTTCTGTGCTTATCACTGTGAGTTTTGACAGTCTGTGTCCTTCCTGGGCTGTTATAATTTTACAGCTTTTTTTGTATACTTGATGATTCATACTTTATTGTCCTCCGGGAGAAGTATCCTGCTCACCCTCAAACTTTGTGGGATTGCTAGAGACCACTTACTTTTCATATTCTGCAATACCCTCTCTCTGTCCAGCCAGATGTGCACAGCTGTCAGAATTCTTTTTGAGGCTCTTAACAGATTTGGAGACATCAGCTGTCAGAATTCTTTTTGAGGCTCTTATCTCAACAGATTTGGAGACACGCTGAGCATCTTCTGAATGACTCTTCTGGTCCTCATCGTTCATCTGACTGCGATTTTCCTGTTTGTTACTGTAGAGGCAGCAAGGATCATGGATGAGGTACATAGGGCACTGTGTGAATTTGTTGTGCTCCTTAAACTGGAAAGTCCTGGTCCATACTGAATGCACCAGACAGAACAGCATGGCAAGTGTGTGCCTTTTGATTTTGCTCCAGCTGTGTGAACAGTCAGCGGAATAGCCAGGAATGTGAAATTAAATGCTTCTAAAACGCTTCATCTTTCTTTCCTGTTGCTTTGTCTTGGCAACGGCTCCTCTCTCGACACGACTTGGTAATACAGTGTTGCCAGTGACTTAATGAGAAACTGGACCTGTTGCTTTGTTTTGTCATCTAGTTGTCACATTAGGAAAACAGAGGCTTTAATTTTCAGAATAGTGTATTGTTTGCAGTACAACATAAGATGCTTTCTGTGTTTCTGTATCACCGTGTACCTTTTCAGGGAGGAAGGCTGCTTTGCCTTAATGGGTAAGGTAGTGAGCTGGAGAGATACACACTAATTTACAGCCTGAAGCTTCTGATATTACAAGTCACCTAATGGCTTTGTAATCCTGTTCAGCATCCATAAAATGAAGACAATTCATATTCTCCCTTGTTCTGTGCTAGGCTGAGGATGATGGACCAATTTGTACTTGCCGTGGTGTGGCAAAGCACTGACTTTGGTGACGATCTTCTTAGCATTGCTATTGCCTGCAGTAGTAAATGGCTTTTCTTGGTTTGCATGTCCCTAGATTCTTATTTTGCCATGGATGATAGTAACAGAGTGACTTGAAATTAAGAACTGAGTCTATTATCATGGGTTTATTAATTAAGTTAAATGTGTAATGTGTGCCTATTAAGCAGAAGTACTTAATCTAAAAGGTGATGATGTGCTGTTTTCTGGGATTGAAAAGATGAAAACACTTCAACTGCTTATGTTTCTCAAGCACACTCTTTTGGTGATGAAAGGAGTTCTGTTCGCAGCAGCGGCTCACCTTTTTATCATCTGGAACATGATCTAGGAGGAGCGATTACAACACTTGTGAGCAAAAGTGGCATCAAAGGAACTGTAACTGTGGGATGCTGGCAAGGCCTCTGCAGAATCCTGTTGATGTTGGGGGGAAAAAGTGATGATGAAACCTTAATTCTGATGCTTGGAGGTGGTCTGGTTTCTAGTTTTGTTTTTTTCCCCTCCAGAGGACAAAGCCCTTGCAAAATGCCATTAGAACTCGAATCAGCTCCTAAGGCCAATGTTCTCTGGACTGCTAACCATCAGCCATAGGTCGCCCGTGATGAAGATCATGGCAACTGGAGGCAGTGTTTAAAAACAAACTGCCACAAGCAGTCTTGCATCTGAATTTTACATTTATTTCTTAAAAGGAATGTGTGTCCTGAGTCCCTGGAGTGTCTATGGATTAAAGGCAGCAGGTAGCTGACCTAAGCGCGGTCTTCACTTGTTCACGGGGATGGACGTGCTCCTCTCTAGCTGTGTCAATGTCTGGTTTGGCTTTAGGAGTCCAACGTGCACAGAGCCGGGGCAGCAGTTCCCCAGGGAGACCAGTGCATCTAAACACAAAAAACCTGCGGGAACTGAGCTAAGAGGAAGGAGAGGAGTGTCAGCATGACCCGACAGGCAGCTCTCTCTGTTTGCCTTTCCTGTGTTGGCTGTGTTGGGCTGGTGGAGTCGCACAACCCAAGAGGGAGTTGGACAGACAAGGATGAAGACGTGGCTGAGTCCTTCTGGGGAGGCCCTGGTGTGGCACCTCTTGGGTACAACCTTTCCCAGGGAGTTCTGGGAAGTCTCTTGAGATGCAAACTGCTGTTCCTGAAGTCTGTAGAGAAGAAGGTAGCTCGTGGTATGAAAATAAAGGGGGCAAACCTCGGTGTGTGCGGAGGGAAGGTTCCTAGCTGGAGAGCAGACTTGTATGTGCAGGTTTCATTGGAAGAGTATCGGAAAGAAATTTTGTGTGTGTGTGTGCAGGGGGAGTTTTTGCAACATGAGAATGCTCATGTGGATAATACTGATGAGGACGAAATGCTTTAGGTTTTTATTTCTAAAATTACTTCAGTTAGGTTAGAAGATACAGTGGGTTTTCTGTTTGCTTTTAGAGCTCCAGTTAACCCTTAAAAGCTGAAGTCAGAGCCTACTATTTTGACTGGGGCAAAACACTTCTGTAGCCTTTGTTTCCGGCAGTGTTGTGGTGGCAGCTTTTCACTGCAAGAAGTAAAAAAAAAAAAAAAAAAACCAAAACCAAACAAAATTGTGACTCTTGCCTGAGACAGGACTTGCATGTTGGTAAAAGGGCCTAACTTGGATCATTGTCAGCCAGTTTCTAT